CACACACACACACACACACACACACACACACACGTGATCACGTTGGCGGAACAAAGGTAACCTTCTAACCTTGAAAATGATTTACATAGGTATCTCTACCCAGTTATACCGTGATAGTTTTGATATACATGTATTGTTATATTATGGCTTAATTAGTCTTGGCCGCCTTCTGGTCTTCCTCTATACGTTCCTTTGGCCTACACTATACATGAACTACTTTTGATTAGTATGGAGTTTTATCGCCTTTAATGCATTTATGAATGTGTGTTAAAAATACCCAACTGATAAATGGATACGTTACAGATAGACAGACAGACAGACAGACAGACAGACAGACAGACAGACAGACAGACAGACAAACAGACAGACAACTCTGTTTCTGTATGTCTGTTTTCTTCCTAGGTTCAAGATGCTGCCTTGTTCGACTATCTGTATAATCTGGGTGCCATAAGCCTAGCAGAAAAGAAGGCGGCACACGAGAGGGTGGAACAACTCCATCTCGAAGCAGCGAACAGCAACAACGAACTAAATATTACATTCGCAGAGGTTTACGACAGAGTGTTGAAACCTGGCTATGACAGCATGATGGACAATTACGTCTCAGGTCAGTTGGCAGTGATCACAGTTAATCTACAACTTTTAACTTTTAACCCCCTGTACTGAAATACCGGTTTGAAGACAACGCGGGGTACTGAAATATCGGCTTGACACACCCACCAAGGACGTGTGTTTTCAGATATAGATCACAGCAGCATCAACAGGAAACATAGTGATATTACCGCAACAACAAAAAAAAATGAGCTGCAGATAAGTAACCTGAAAAAAAGAAACGAAATTATTCAGGAACCTAGGGTGTGGCGCATTTAAGTTTTAGGAGTCCAGGATTGAAAGAGGTTTGGTTGACAAATTGTGATAATTCATGGCATCAGTCTCTGCTATCTATCTATCTATCTATCTATGTATCTATCCATCTATCTATCTATCTATCTATCTATCTATCTATCTATCTAACTATCTATCTATCTATCTATCTATCTATCTATCTATCTATCTATCTATCTATCTATCTGTCTGTCTGACTCTCTATCTATCTGACTATCTAGCTAATATCTAGCTAATAAATACTCGTATCTATTTATCTATCTCTTCCGTCTCTTGACTTCACTCTGTGCGCTTTTGTTTCCAAAATTCACTCATTCTTATTGGTTCTCACGACGTTTTATATTTCAAACCAAAGCCATTCCTTAACCTTTACTCCTTTACCTTTTCCATTCTATGTGATTTTGTCCTCTCAAAATCATTAACTTGTTCTACTTCACCAACTTTTTTCTAGCTAAAAAGACAACGTCTACCGATTAACTGTCTGTTAATTGGTTACAAAATAATATAATGGAATTAGAAAAAGCTCAAGTGGGTTTAAATCTGGATTTTCTCCATGGCTCTTTTTTAAGTTTGATATTGCAAAAACACCCCAAAAAATGTGGGAATGAAGAGACAGGCGGAATAGCGGGAAAATCTAGTCAGTTGAAAGTGTTGATAGACGAAAGGATGGTATGGATTAAAGACAGCCAGACTCACCAAAGCGTACTTTTATGAATGTGTGTCTTTATACCCGTGTGCATGCCCGATAGATAAATGGATTTTGTACTGTTAGTCAGACAAAAGGGCAGACAGACAAACGAAAAAACAGACAGACAGACAGGCAGACAGACGGACAGACAAACAGACAGACAGACAGACAGACAGACAGGCAGACAGACAGACAGACAGACAGACAGACAGACAGACAGACAGACAGACAGACAGACAGACAGACAAACAGACAGACAGACAGAAAGACAGACATATATGAATTACGATTTAAAGTGACTTGAAGCAATATGTTGAATTTAATCGCATGTAAAGAAATCAATGATTCTTATCCATACTACTTTTTTTTCACTTCTCAGAAAGATTACGGCCTTTCAACTTAGTTCAAACGATGGTCAATTCAGTCAGAGAACACTTGCATGTTGGCGATGTACCGTTCCACATCTTCGGTCCCAGTCAATACGACCATTTCGGACCTGATTACTTCGTCTCTACACACAAAGAAATGGCTGAGTTAATGGACAACTACAATGTTCTCATCTACAACGGAGATCAGGATCTCATTGTAAGCTCTGCAAGTGTCGAAGCTGCAGTATTGGCAACGCCTTGGAAGTTTCAAGACGAATACCAGAAAGCGAACAGGTCTATTTGGGGGTTCCCTTGTATAGAAGGTTTCTACACACGCCTGGACCGGTTTTGCCGCGTTATTGTTCATAGATCCGGTCACCAGGTCCCGAACGATCAGCCAAAGTCTAGTCGTGTCATGGTCGAACACTTTCTCAAATATGGCTGTTTGACAGAGCCTTTTCAAGAACACTCTACGCATTGCTTTTGGCCGGTGCCAGACGAGACTTCCAGAGGAGCCTCAACCTTACATTATATGCATATCGCTCTTAAGTGTATAGTGTTATCTTTCTATTTTGTTGTGTCTGCATTTGTGTTATAAATGTCTTGTGCTTTTCTTTTTAATTTTAACACATAAATTGATGAACGATTGTTAGTTGAAATATTATCCAGAGTTTCATGTTGAGTGGCTCCACGTTTGATGCATTTGTATGTTCAACAACAAGGACCCTTTTCAAAACTCTTAGAAATTGTACACTATTTTATGTGAACTGACATCAGGTTAACGACCTTTTTCTTTGATGCATTTCTTCTTCTTTGGGGGCTCCGAGAGGGGCGATTGAATTTTTGCCATTATTAAGAAAAAGAAATTCATCCAGGTAAGAGCGACATGCTAAACGAATATTCCGTTTCGATAGTATTGAACAAGGTATCGATACACAATGCTTTTGGTGTGTTTTTGTAGAATACAGATTAAGATTAATGAAAATAAACTTTCAGTATTGTCCCCTTTGCATTTTAAGGCTTGGGACAGGTAGTATTTGGAAACAAACATTCTTCTTGAGTCAATTTCTTATGATATATAGGCAGCGGTGAACATGTTCTGTCTTTATTTCTCCTTTGGGTGAATGCATCGATGAGGTCTCCTGCCTGGCATTTTATTTCGTTTTTCGGTTCTCGTCCTCGCCGTTCTCTGCCCAAGGTGCAGTTCTCTTAAATTGTTGAACGAGGACTGTTGAACAAGGCGTTTCAAATAAACGTTCTCGAAATCTCTCATAAAAGTTATCGGAAATCCAGGCGAAATGAAGGGTACCTCATGCAGCTGTATTCGATACTGTGAGCTGCTATTACACCAAGTAAGCAAGTGACAGAGTAATTAATATAGTAAAATACTAGTTGCTGTTTGCTAGTTGTCCAAAGTCGCTGTTCACAGGTAACCATGACGTAAGTCTCTCTCTCTCTTTTCCCTGGTACTGGTCGACTGTTGAGCCGAGTTCAGTGCCATTATGTAAAAGCTTTAAAGCAGAGTTCATAACATCAACTTTCTGTTATCAACAAAACTAGTTTTGAAAGCCTTCAGAGTTATGTTTATATCGTTTATTCCTCCCCCTCCATTCCCCCTCCCCCACCCCCCACAGCCCCCCCCCCCCCCGCAAAAAGTAACTTTCTTGCTTTTTACTGTTGGATTTGTTTCGTTTTGTTTCCCATCCTATTACTATTTTTAAAATACCAATAATATAATACCATGTACTTTCTTTACTCCGTGTCGTAACTTCGGTGAATCCCATAAAGACCTGTTCGTATTGTTCTAGAAATTAGTTTCTTTTATAACTATAAAGTTCAGTTGTTATGAGAGGGACTTTAACTGAACAATTATGCTGCTAGGGTTGAAAGGAAAGTTGTTAAAAAGAGAAGTACATGTAAATTTTCTTTTGGCAGTACGTATATTTTGAATAGACGCCAAGGCCTTGAAAATCTTTTAGACACTTGAAAAATAATTGCTAAGGAGGCAGAAGAAGACAAAGAACAACACTCACTTAGGTTGCTTGGACTAATGGATAATATGAAAAGACGAGGATGAAGAAGGTTTTTATTTTTATTTTTAGCAGCTGTACGGAGAAAGGAAATACCAATCATTATCACTGATTAATGTTTGTTTTAGACCAGCTATCAAGGCAAGAAATCGGCTACAATGCAGTACAGCAATAAAACATTCCTTGTTCGTTCTAGGCAAGGTTCTGTGGTAAATGTAAATTACTACGCCCCAGTCTAACAATTAGTTAAAAATGTCTTTCGACCTCGACATCAGTGCAATCCCAATGTCGCCACTTTGAGAATGCATAATAATGCTTTTAATAATGCATACTAGGTCCAGTAAGTCCCTGAGGAAGGGGTAAAATGTATTTTTACCGGTTTGGGATAAGTAGTCTGCCGAGAAGGTCTGCTCATAGAAGAAAAACATTTCTACATAAAACACTTTCCAACCCCAAAAAGGTTATCTCTTGCCCTTCCTCTCCCTTTTCACACACATTCGCACGGAAGGAATTCCAAAGATTGAAGCAGTTTGCTCATTATTTCTTTTTTTCTCATTTGTTTTCCTGACAGTATACTGTGTGCCCCCCCCCCCCCCCCCCCCCCCCGTCCTCTTTTTTAAATTGTATTTTTTGGTTGTATTATTTAAATTTTATCATTAATTAAATCATTGTATTGGGGGGTGGCTAGGCGTTAACCACTGTATTGCATACACCGGTATTCATTCTTTCTCTGGTCTCTCGTAATCATTTATATTTCATAGAAGACAAACTTGCAGTGTCTGTTTTATATTTGTGTGCCACCATGAATGTATACCAACGTCTTCTTTGAGAGGTGTCATCTTGTAGGTATGGGTGAGAGTGTTATTGTGTGTCAGTTAGTTCGTGGAGCAAGGCTTCGTGTGCCTATCTGTTTTCCCAGATCTTCCTACTATGTTAAAGTTTTCCTTTTCCCTCCTTCGTACAATAAGCGAATTGAATTGTGTAGCCGTTATTTTAAAGGAAAGCATTTTTTCTGGAACCTCATTACCAAAAAGAATTTTCCTAAACGTATATTTTCCATTTCCACAGATTATAGATCCTTAAAAAGCCAATAAACTGCTATTTCATTTTAACACTATATTTGCAAGGTCGTCGATTTTGGTTTGTATGCTCAGTTATGCTTAAATAAACGAACACCTTTTTCAAATAGTTCTGTCTTTAAACATTTCTTTTGCTGCGAGTGCGCAGTAAATCATAACTGGGGGACTTTTGATACTGTAGTTCGTGCTGATATGTACTTGAAGAGATGGTTAATTTGTGTTACTGATTATTCGTAACGATCATTACCTTGTGCATGTGCGCGGATTTAAATTAATGCTAGTAAGATTATGTTACCGTCTGTGATATAACATCTTACTCTCATGAAATAATCTATTGATAGTCTCTATGTGTTAGCTCTATAATATTATTTAAACAAAGTATTCGATCATTCAATTGTATATACATTTCTACATGCCTGTATGTCTGTCGGTTTTTCTGTTGTGCATGTTTCTTTCTGTTTGTCTGTCTGTGAGCCTTTCTGCCTCTTTCTGTCTCTGTCTCTATCTCGCGCTCTCTCTCTCTCTCTCTCTCTCTCTCTCTCTCTCTCGCTCTCTCTCTCTCTCTCTCTCTCCCTCTCTCTCTCTCTCTCTCCCCTCTCGCTCTCTCTCTCTCTCTGTCACAAACGCTACACGAAATGCTGGATACGGATCCATCACCAAATATTGAAACAACCTTGAAGAGATAAAGGAGACCCAACTATTTGGCCCATGGGGGCTCCAACTATGACGCAGAGAGAGTTGCCATAGTAAAGACCCTGGAGCAGATCACCCAAGACTTTCTTGAAGGAGAAGTAACACGATGGGATGTTGTTGTCTTTTCTGATTCAATGCCAGTACTCCAAGCAGTCGAGGGAGGAGGAGACTACAGAGGAGACGGGAACATTCTTAGCCTTGTAAAACAGATGAGTACTTCCTATGGCGTCCGGTTCACACTGTAGTGGGTGCTTGGCCATTCTGGAGTACCAGGCAATGAGACTGCAGACCAGCTATCAAAGACTGGAGCAAACCTGCCCCAGACAGACACAGCCGCATCTTTACAGTCCTGCAGAGGGATGAACAAGCCAAAAGCAGAGACGAGAGGCTAAACAGATGGGCCAACGCAGAAACAGGAAGATCTCTCTTCGGGTACCTGGACAAACCCAACTCCAAAGACACTTCAAATCTCTGATGTAGAGCCGATCAGACTTTGATCTTCAGAGCCCACAAAGGACACTTACACACCAACAAGCACATAAACAGAATTAATCCCATGTGGAAACCCCATTTCAGACACTGTGACTACCACGAGGAGACCGTTGAACATCTTCTCCTTCACTGCCCAAACCTGGCAGTTCTTCGTCGCAGGCTCCTACACACACCAACAGACTTACAAAGCCTGCTCTACTCTATCGTTGACCAGATAAATAATAATAATATATAACGTTCATATAGCGTATTTCCAAAAAAGTAGCTCAATGCGCTGTACATTGAAATACCCATTTTTCAAAATCTTTCTTACTACTTCCTTTCTTCTCATGCAATATATATTTATGCACACACACACACACACACACACACACACACACACACACACACACACACACGGACTATTTTCATTCAGACAAAGGCACAGGACAACTATAATTTTTTTAAAAATAAATAACGTTAAAAGCTTATGAAAGATAGGCCTGTAGGAACAGAAAATGCTTAAGATGTCTTGTTTGTCTTAGTTCCCTAGGTAATCTGTTCCACATAAAAGGACCAAGATATTATTATGAGAAAGATCTCTCTCCATATGATTTGTATGATTTTACCGGTATCACCTTTCCTCTTTTTCTTGGCAATCGACTGGCTGAAGAAGGAAACCACCAGAGGACACAGCCACGGTATACAGTGGACCCCATGGACACAGTTGGACGATCTGGACTTTGCAGATGACTTGGCGCTTCTGTCACACACTCAGGAACAGATGCAAGCAAAGACAACAATTTTAAACAGCCTATCAGAGTCTGTTGGATTGAAGATCCACCCCGGAAAGTCGAAAGTCCTGAGGATAGATGTACTACGAAAGGAGCAGGTCACAGTACAAGGAAATACACTAGAAGACGTCGAATTCTTCTGCTATCTTGGGAATATAATTGACAAAGAGGGAGGAACAGGCGCTGAAATAAAGTCTCGCATTGGAAAGGCACAGACTGCATTTATTTCTTTGAACAGGATTTGGAGGACCAGGGATAGCTCATTACGAACAAAGCTTAGAATTTTCAACTCAAATGAGAAGTCAGTCTTGTTGTATGGATGTGAAGCGTGGAACGCATCCCATATGTGCATAAAGAGGATCCAGGTTTTCTTAAACAAGTGTCTAAGGAAGCTACTGAGGATCAAATGGACAGACAGGATCACCAACGAGGAAGTATTAAGAAGAACGATACAGAGTCCAGTCAGAGATGAGGTGGGAAGAAGACGTTGGCGATGGATAGGGCACACTCTCAGGAAGTCAAGCAACTGCATAACAAGAAAAGTGTTAGATTGGAACCCACAAGTAAAAGATCAAGGGGAAGACCACGTTGAACCTGGAGAAGAGTCACGGAAATGGATGTACAGAAAAGTGGGAAGACGTGGAGTGACATCAAGCGACTAGCCCAGGATAATAAAGGTGGAGAGTGTCTGTTCGTGGCCTATATCCTGATCCAGGGTGAGAAAGGCAATGATGATGATGATGACGGGTTCACAAGTACGGTGTTATCGTTTGATGACCTTAGGTTTATCCCTGCTGATAAGTTCTTGTAGATAAAAAGAAGCGGCTTTATTTACACATTTGAAACACATGACACAGATTTTAAATATTATTCTTTCTTTTACTGGGAGACAATGCAGTTTTTTTAATAGTGGAGTGACATGGTCTCGTTTTTTAGATCTTGTTATCAGTCTAGCGGCATTGTTTTGAATTACTCGCAAACGATTCAAATGTTTATTGTTCAGACCTGCTAGGAGTGAGTTACAATAGTCTAATCTAGATAGGATAAGAGATGTTACCCGTGTTTTTGCGTTCTCTTCATTTAAGTACTTACGAACTAGGCCTATCCTTCTCAGCTGAAAATAAAGGGATTTAGACATAGATCCTACAAACGAGCCCCTTGATAAGTGGTGGTCAATATATATACCGAGATTCTTGACAAC